CTGTATAAATGGACACTATAGTCACCAGAACCACTACAGCTTATTATACAGTATTGTAACGGAGCTCAGTGTACCCCTGGCTGGTGACCTCCGCCAAGGACCGCTTCCTAACTGGAGCAGAGGGTAAACCGCAGCACTTCTGCCGTGACTTGATTGGAGTCCTGGAGCCGAATGGGGAACTCGCTCTATCCACCCCCAGGCACTGGACGACACTCAGTCCTGGGAACTCTAATCCTTACAAGGACTTTCCATAAATGGTTGTGTTCATGACTCTATAGTGATCCTTTAATGTGCAGCATACAGCATCATTTATAGTATATAGGTTAGTGTACGATTACAGGTTAGTGCACGGCATACAGCATAATGTACGGCATAAAGGTTAGTGCACGGTATACAATGAATCACTGAGGAGATGCTGATTGGCGCAGCACAGCGTTTAGCTGTGCATGCGTGACAGCCTCCAATTGCTTTTGAATGGATTGGCTGAGTTTATCATGATTGAAGATCTCAACCAGAGAAGCGAAGGGAGGCGTGGCCAGAGCGGCGTGAGATGAAAGGTGAATTACTGTAGAGAGATGGCTGGCCACCTAAACCGCCCCGTCAGCACTATAGTGTCATGAATAAATGTCTTCCTTTAACTGGTTTTCATTTTCTCACCTCGCAGACAAGATGTGCCAGTTCTCCTTGTTCGGGATCCATTCCGGAAACTCCCAGTACGAATGGTTCAAGTCGTGGCTGTGAAAAAAAACATCAAAAGTTTGAGAAATTAAGTTCTTAATGACCAAAACCATCAGTTACCCTCAACATAACATGTTCACTCAGCAGCTCTCGTGACCCCTTAGCAACGCAGGCCTTCCTACTATACCATATACTGAGCTATACTACACCAACACAGGCCCTCCCTACTGCACCATACCTACTATACCATATACTATGCTATACTACACCAGCACAGGCCCTCCCTACTGCACCATACCTACTATACCATATACTGAGCTATACTACACCAGCACAGGCCCTCCCTACTGAACCATACCTACTATACCATATACTGAGCTATACTACACCAGCACAGGCCCTCCCTACTGCACCATACCTACTATACCATATACTATGCTATACTACACCAGCACAGGCCCTCCCTACAGCACCATACCTACTATACCATATACTATGCCATACTACACCAGCACAGGCCCTCCCTACTGCACCATACCTACTATACCATATACTATGCTATACTACACCAGCACAGGCCCTCCCTACTGCACCATACCTACTATACCATATACAATGCTATACTACACCAGCACAGGCCCTCCCTACTGCACCATACCTACTATACCATATACTATGCTATACTACACCAGCACAGGCCCTCCCTACTGCACCATACCTACTATACCATATACTATGCTATACTACACCAGCACAGGCCCTCCCTACTGCACCATACCTACTATACTACACCAGCACAGGCCCTCCCTACTGCAGCATACCTACTATACCATATACTATGCTATACTACACCAGCACAGGCCCCCGTACTATACCATACCTACTATACCATATACTATGCTATACTACACCAGCACAGGCCCTCCCTACTGCACCATACCTACTATACCAGCACAGGCTTTCCCTACTGCAGCATACCTACTATACCATATACTATGCTATACTATACCAGCACAGGCTCTCCCTACTGCACCATACCTACTATACCATATACTGAGCTATACTAGACCAGCACAGGCCCTCCCTACTGCACCATACCTACCTATACTATACTACACCAGCACAGGCCCTCCCTACTGCACCATACCTACTATACCATATACTGAGCTATACTACACCAGCACAGGCCCTCCCTACTGAACCATACCTACTATACCATATACTGAGCTATACTACACCAGCACAGGCCCTCCCTACTGCACCATACCTACTATACCATATACTGAGCTATACTAGACCAGCACAGGCCCTCCCTACTGCACCATACCTACTATACCATATACTGAGCTATACTAGACCAGCACAGGCCCTCCCTACTGCACCATACCTACTATACCATATACTATGCTATACTACACCAGCACAGGCCCTCTCTACTGCACCATACCTACTATACCATATACTATGCTATACTACACCAGCACAGGCCCTCCCTACTGCACCATACCTACTATACCATATACTATGCTATACTACACCAGCACAGGCCCTCCCTACTGCACCATACCTACTATACCATATACTATGCTATACTACACCAACACAGGCCCTCCCTACTGCACCATACCTACTATACCATATACTGAGCTATACTACACCAGACCAGGCCCTCCCTATTACACCATACCTACTATACCATATACTATGCTATACTACACCAGCACAGACCCTCCCTACTGCACCATACCTACTATACCACATACTATGCTATACTACATCAGCACAGGCCCCCGTACCATACCATATACTATACTACACCAGCACAGGCCCTCCCTACTACACCATACCTACTATACCAGTACAGGCTTTCCCTACTGCACCATACCTACTATACCATGTACTATACTACACTACACTACACCAGCACAGGCCCTCCCGACTGCATCATACTTACTATACCATATACTATACTACACTACACCACACCATACCTACTATACCATATACTATGCTATACTACACCAGCACAGGCTCTCCCTACTGCACCATACCTACTATACCATATACTGAGCTATACTACACCAGCACAGGCCCTTCCTACTGCACCATACCTACTATACCATATACTATGCTATACTACACCAACATATACCATAAGGGGCAGACTACTATACCAACACCATAACAGTAGAGACCTCCTTACTATTCCATGGTGACTTCAGTAGCTTTCCAGACGGGAGCCATGATTGAGCAATAGAATCCATTCTCTGCGAATCCTCTCAGTGTCGGACTCTCCTTCTGGAAACAAGGCATGACATTATTAGAATGTGTGAGCATTGACGCATAACTCAGAAAGCAAGTGTTAACACCAAACTCATCCTAAAGGATTAATCACCCCATCACCGCACTCGGCCACCTCCCTAGGGCGGCCGACATCCCCGCACTCGGCCACCTCCCTAGGGCGGCCGACATCCCCGCACTCGGCCACCTCCCTAGGGCGACCGACATCCCCGCACTCGGCCACCTCCCTAGGGCGGCCGACATCCCCGCACTCGGCCACCTCCCTAGGGCGGCCGACATCACCGCACTCGGCCACCTCTATAGGACGGCAATGCCCCAGTACACCATTTAAATCACTTACTATACGAGTGAAATGCCAATGAAAGGTCCACATGTGACATCTCCCAATGGATATTAAACCATCCATCATATTTATAAGAAACTTTCATTAGAACCTTCAAATGCACTCAGAAAGCATGAGATAATATTACATTTCCAGTAAGTGTTAGAACATCCGCTATTTAACGCTCCGTAATTTCCTTTCCCCAACTTGTCCGCTCACAGACCTGGAGACAGTCATGAAATGTTAACTTCTCATTTTGTAATAGGTTATTACTTTTAATGCAACGTAATGATTGGTTTTAGATTATGTATGTACGTATATATAAATATTTTCTTTTATATTTCACTTTTTAACTGGCTGAGCCGCCATTTTGGGTCTGCCTCCACTGTTATATAACCAACTGCTGCTCAACCTAACTTACCTGCTGCAATTGCTCTGTGTAAGCCGGCAGCAGCCAGCAAGTTAGGTTGAGCAGCAGTTACTTGGATAACAGAGTCTGACCCAAAAAAAGCGGTAGGTTGTATCGATCCGATGCCGTCTCCCCTGGGTGGTGCCAGCTCCTAGTGACTGATCCGACATGCAAGAAAATACAACAATGATGTCTATGGAGCCTTTATAGATATTATCTCAGGAAGATTCAGACGTCATTC